GAGGTTGCACAAGAAATTTAGCGGTATCTGCCCTCTTTTCGGACCTTAGCATTTAAATTCATAATTCAATGATGTGTAGCTTGCTTTATTACGGAGAATTAGGGCAAATATATGTTAGAAAGTAAGAGAATTCGTAATCGAACTGGAAAGACTAAGTAGGATGATCTTAACAATTGTTTAGGTCTCTGGAAAGATCATAGTGAAGGTCCAGCAGAGCAAACAGCATAAAACAGCAAAATGAAAGAAAGTTTCTTATAGACTTCATAACGTTTGAAGGAGTCTCCAGTCAGCACAGAATACTTATGCAAAAAATGTAGGTCACAAACATGTGTTTTGTCGATTTCGAATTTTCTGCAGTTATCAAGAACTGTTGCGAGTTAAATCAAAATGATCAATTTCAGTGGCATTTTTACCCATTTTCATCTCTGCAACCAATGCTCCGAAAGACAGACAAGCCATCACTGCAAAATGGAAGACTTTTTTCTAATAGGGTCAAAACGAAGCAAATTGTCTGCACTGCAAAAATCAGTTATCTACCAAAAGTAAATGACAGAACCTCTAAGAGCACCCAATTTCAAGAGACAATGAATAAACGATCTATGGCCAATTCTGCTTGCGATGGACAATGGCAAAGTCCGGTGATCATAGCCGTCTCAACAACCAAAACAACCATCGTGCTAGGCGCCAGGACCTTGCCACAGCCTGTTTCCATAGCTCAGATTCGAGAAGATGCTTGACGCAGGCATTCCTATGAAACAAATGATTTGTAACTTGTTTTTGATATTTGTTTGGCATGTTTCAGAAAATTTGTGATTAGAGGGGAAAATGTATTATACAGGTCAAAAGGATGTGCACACTGTTTGATCGTTCTCCTGCTTTCATGTCTTTTGCCGAGCTGAGGTACCATTCTGTAGAGCGAGGTACAATTTAGATCTACAATATGAAGCAAATTATCAATCATTCTTCATTACTGTAGGATTACGGCAGGAACTTCGAGGAGGATTTTGGGCCATTAGAAGTATTTTGCCTCAGAAAGAAAACCAAACAAGCCAAAAACTCTTAGAATGGGCTAATCGAAGCCGTTGATTCTGTCTTCCATAACTTATTTCATAGGTAACAACTGTTTTTCCAAGGCCCTTCAAAAATGTAAATGCGCCGTCAAAAGAACTCGAGAAACTGGAGAAAAGTTAGTAGTGAAATAGTGACATCAGCACGCCTGAAAACCTTGCTACACAAATTTTAGGTTTTTTGAAGCTATTTCATCAGAAGGCTCAATCCCATTGACGCTGTGTGCTGAAGTTCATACCGTAATCCTACAGTGACGAAGAGTGATTGCTGATTCATTCCATAATGCAAATCTGAGTTGAATCTCGCTCTACAGAATGGTACCTCAAGCAGCGGCAAAAGACATGAAATCGAGAGAATCATTTGATCAAACAGTGTGCACATCTTTTTGGGACACTCTGTACATATTAAACAAAGATTTGCATAGAGACTCGCTCCCAACAAATAGGTACCTCTATCTATTGATTGAGCAATCCAAAGTCAAAAAATTAGCCTTTATTGTCTAGATTGCTCACATAAATTTGTGAGAAAGAGAAAAAGAGAGAGAGAGTGAGCATCTGTGAACGTGGGGGGGGGGCATAATATGCGATTGAATAAATATCTTATAAAGTAAATAAATTATCATAGTCAGCTTTGAAGAACCTATTCCTTCGGCATCATACTCTTGTCAGATTTCAAATTCTTGAGTTTCGTTCGAAAATGATCAACGAGAGTTATATGACATAATAATCACGAAAATGTTACTCATTTGGTGTGGTGCCTTTCTCATAAAATACAATAGGTGTACGGCAAAGAACTAAAGTATCAGAATTCGCTGAAACATTGCAGAGAAGAAAGGTCACACATTACACATTAAAATAACGCTTTATCTTGAGTTAAAGTGACTCCCATAATCAAGGAGTAAATATTAGGTCGTTCCGAAAGTTTTTTTCCGTTTTTTCAACCTATCATAAAAAGACGTGGAATGAAGGTAGGGAAACGCTTTGGGCACTATACGACGCAGCTTTTCTTCCTCTTTCTAGCACTCGTACTCACATGTCGCTTACTCTTGTGATCACTGAGGTAATGGCCGAAATTTCGAACCCATGGTTTTTACCATGTCCAACTTTGGCAATTTTTCAAAATCTTCTTTCTTGACTTTTGGGAAAGCTTTGATAACAGCCAGATAGAGTAAACAAAGTGCAGTTTAATGCAATTTTTCGGCGTTGATAGCTAGCTTTAAAAAAATTTTTAGAATTATTTTCCTGATGCTATCAAATTCCATTTTTGAGGATGCCAAGAGCAATAGAACATAAGACGGCGCACAACTAAGGTACCATTCGATGCAGATTTTCCTTCTTTTTCTAATGAATATATTTTCTTTCCAGTTTGTGGGGCCTTTGGCGATAAAGTTCCCATAATTCTTGATTTTGAACCGGCCCCAGCCTGTACACGTAAAATGCGAAACCTTATATTTCCAAGCGGTAAACGCTCAGTTGCTTTCTAAAAATTGTGGATAATCGTAACTGACTTTTGAAAGCTTCAAAATCCGTAAATTTGCCGGTGTTCGGGCGTTTCTGTATTTTGGGACTTTGCAAAAGTGAAGACTTTTGGAAAAATTATCTCAAAAAATAGTGAAAGGCCAGCTGGATAGGCGAAAAAATTGCATTGTATTGCACTTTGTTTACTCTATCTAGCTGTTATCAAAGCTTTCCCAAAAGTCAAAAAAGAAGATTGTGAAAAATTGCCAAAGTTGGATATGGTAAAAACCATGGGTTCGAAATTTCGGCCATCATCTCAGTGATCACAAGAGTAAGCGACATGGGAGTATGACTGCTAGAAAGAGGAAGAAAAGCTGCGTCGTATGTTGCCCAAAGCGTTTCCCTACCTTCATTCCACGTCTTTTTATGATAGGTTGGAAAAACGGAAAGAACTTTCGGAACGACCTAATATGATATAAGTGATCAACTTGCCGAATAACCCTTATATGTAAAGTCTCACAATCAGCAACTAGCGGCCCGCTTCTTACCGTAACACACCGTAATCTAACGGAAAAATAGCTCTTCATATGGAATCACTCAGTGACTAAAAGAATCCAGAGTCTAGTAGCATTTGCGTCAGAACTTGTTGGAAGATGTACTTTATCAAAATATCAGAAAAGAGTAAGGCCATTATTTGTTGAGAGAAAAGCGTCTGCGAAAACAGTATCAATTCACCCACACGGCTTTTATAGCTTAGGAGAATCAAGTGCGTACGCGGTCAACAAGAATAAACTTGTCTTCGCTCTTAGAATAGCAAAATAAGTCGAACAACCAAGTAAAGCACATGTCTCAACTTGTTCAATGTGCACCCACATTCTCAAAATTTCGCCGACCGTGAATGCATAGCGTTTGGCATTTTTAAGCATCCGCAGCAATTGGTCCTTGTCCACCGCATGAACATTTCAGAGTTTCTATAAAAAAGAGATTGTATGGCCGGAAAAAGACGAAAACAGATGCGGATCGACATTTAAAATTCTACACAAAATATTTGAGAAGACAGCAACTCTTTCTACACTGATAAAAGTTGCGCTTGAACTGAACCCAACAGAAGCTCTAGCGATTATAAGCTATGCAAAGCAGCTGGATTTTTCAGTAATAAAGAGCAATATTAATTATTTCTCAAAGACCTGATTTCCGTTGTCTGCAAGATTTGCCTACATTGGAAACTATACCTAATAAAAACGTACAAAGCTTGCTAGCTCTTTTCGAATGATTATGCAGTGAAGATCTATGAAAGAGGATTATGTTGTTGAAGAGACCAAGGAGAAAACATAGTGGAATCGATGAATAATAGTAAGTTATAAAGCTGTAGGATGAGCAGTGCTCATAAAGAAATTGTAAGATTGTACATTATGTATGGAAGAAAATTGGTAGCACTGTACGAAAGCAGAATATGAGCAAAGACATATAACAATGATTTGAAGATGGATGAACGCAAATAAAGATAGAAGAACGCTTTGATATGATCCAAAAAAAATCATTTTTCTTTCTTATAAAAGCAGCAGCGAAAATCATGTGGCAAATAAAGATTGAAGGAATATGTTGGAAGTGTTTGTAGTGATTAAGGAGATAAGCAATTATCGATGAGGCACATGATGAGAGAAAAGAGCAAAAGTTTGAAACTTATGAAAAAAGTACCGATAAAAATTACATAATTAACCAATGAGATACGGAAACAAAGATGAAGATGAAGCAGCTTATAAGATATAATTTTGATTTGATGCCATATGAGAAGATGATGACTAACTTAAATTCAATGTCGCTGTTTGTGTGATCGATTTTTCGTAAAAGTGGATTGGATACAAGAAGAATGAGCTTATGGCATTGGAAGCAAAAATGAGGAGATGCGGAAAAGAAAAACTTGGAGGAAGTGGGACGAGGAATATAATAAATACATTTGTTTTCAAAAACAAGTAAAATGTTCGATTTTGAATGCAGAGACGAATAGAGACCAACAAAATCAACAGAAATTGTTCTGGTTCATTTTTGTCGAAATAAGCATGAAGAAGGCTAGAGGTAAGTGATCAGAAGAGATATTACGAGATTTAGATGCAAAAATTTCGATGATAATTCGCAATCGAAAAAAATTGCAATGATGAGTGCGATCTCGGAATGCAAAGACAACGAGTTGGAAGAAAAGCAGATTCAAGACTGATTGATCGCAAAAGCAGCGTCTCTCAAAAAATCGATAGATCAAATTGGCAGGATAGAGAGGCGAGGAGATCAACACAATCGAATTACCTGTCGAATAATTAGATATAGTGTAGTAATAATATAGTATAGCACTAGGAATAGCATGCACACAAAAATGGACTATGGACGAGAAAAGGACAAGACAACATTCAGGCATGGATATTGATCTTTATTCGATGAACAACTGTGAATGATCTTCTGCTCGAAAGCAGCAAAACAAACCTGAAAGAAATCTTTGAAGGGTTGTTGTTCAAGAAGTTCCAATGTCGCTGGTAGATCTTTGAAGAATTGCACGTGATGATCGAAATCGCGTTCCAGACGAACGAATGTTTGTCCAACCTGGATATAAAGTAAACTTAGTCAATGTTCAAGCATATCGGCACTTGGATTTCTTGAGCGAGTTATTGAGAGCAGGGCCCGACACAGTTGGCACCGGGTCAAGCTACATATCGCTTTTGGGACAAAAAGCAAAGGGGATGTCGTTTTTGTGACCAGAAAGACTCAAAAATTGCGACATTTTTCAATCGACGTTTCGTATTTTAGGGTCCCTGGTGCCAGCTCGTGCCGAGCCCCATTGAGATTCCCTGACTAATTCTTGCCCAATCGGCGGCTCACACGATTCATTCGTAGCCGAAAATTATAGCCCCAATCTCCGCCCAGACCGTATTTATTTTATTTTATTTTATTTTATCTCTGTATAGAATGATGCGCCAAACGAACGTGATAGTTCAATAAGTTTGTCTCGCTTTGAAATAAATGATGAGAAATTAAGAACTAATTTCTCGAAAGATCAAACTATATAGTAAAAAAAAATTTGTAGCCTACACTCAATAGGTTTATAGATGTAAGTATGATGAGGAAGGATGGTCGTCATGCTGCAGCCATGGTGTGAATAACCTTTGAGTTATCACTCTCAAGCGAAAAAAGCGTATCCTTTAAGAGCGAACCAATCAGCGTCCTCTTATACGGTATGAGCAAGAGTTTGCAGGTGTAGGCTCTCACCAATGAATATTGTGAAATGCCGGCAATCAGCTTCCACATTAAGAACCAATTAAGTCGACACTGATATGGAAGAATAAAAACGCCTTAGAAAAGCTATAGTTTAGCATCATAAAGCTCATTATTTTGAGCTGTAACGCAGTATTGATGGCAATCTCTGAGACATAGTAGCAAACTACAGAAAGTAATTGCCTTTTGTAAAAAAATACATAGTCAAAAGAATCTCTCAAGGAATCCTCTTGATTAGAATCGAATACGATTACGGTACCCAAGGAACTTACTTGAAAGAGACAAAGAAACCCCTATCTACGCCCTTAACGTATCTCTTGGCCATTACCATTTTGTTAGATTGGAAGATCTTCTGTATCTGCAAATTTTTTGACCCCACTTGTAGATGGGGAAATGATACAAGCCAACAGCATTTGCATAACTTTTTTTGAACGTCCTGCTTCTAAGAAACGCACATGTTTCGGTCTAGGTTAAATATAAAAAATAAAATCGCAGCTTGAATCTTCCCAAGGGCAAATTTAGACTAGATTGAACATGGATAAAAAAATTAGGCTCGAAATAAATGGAAAGACGATTGCGCAATTTGGAGTTACTTGTAATTAGAATTTATTTCTCAACACAGACTTCTTCACATACCTTTCCGGGATCGTCGGAATAGTAATTGAGACCTTTCAGCATTACACTGAAAATGTTGTCTTCTTTGAAGCATTTCTAATTGATCACTAATCTATAATAGAAATATATCACTTACTTAGCATGGAAGTTATAGAGTTCGGCAACATTCAGGGTCAATTTTTCCTTTTGAGCTGCAACCTGCGGTGGTACGTTAGCATCATCCAATAGTCGGACGTAGTTGTCAACACAGGTACGAAGTTCGGAAACAAATTCCTCTTCAGATCGGAGTAGATCATGATAGACTTGGCTGGAATATCATAGTTGAAGTGTGGAATTACATAGAAGTTAGCTATAAAATTTTTGTACAAAACACGCACACTTATCGCATCTTTTTATTTTTGTTTTGAAACCCTGATACTTGGTTCCACCCATCGATTCTCAAAAATCAAACAATCTTTCCAATCGATTTACTTTCTACCTTTTTACTTAGAAAATCCATGCCGTTACTGACGAGCAACGCAAGCCATCGTTTTCCCGGCCCACACACTCTCACACGTTGTTTAAACTACCACCAACAGCATACGTCAATAATGGGGGTTCTGTGGACATGGGAGTACATTTTTTGGTACGAAATTAAAGGTGTACTACTCCGTGCACTGTGTGTCTTCAAACTAGAGTTGAAGGGTCACATACATATTTGACCTATAGGAAAAAAGCTTGACATTTAAGTCGTAAATTTTTTTAGGAACCACTAGAGTTATCCTCTTTCTTTTGCGGCGAGTTACTACCACATTATTACTTTGAATCCAGAAATACTTTGCTCACGATACATCCAAGAAATTCTTTCCAATGGACAATCGAGCAACTGTTCGATGTGTTGAGAACAAATCGAAGATTAGAGCTTGCAAGCAGCGGCTTCAATTTACTACGATGCTACGACTCATGTTGTTTTTTACAATATTTCTGACAGGTAGGCAGTTAGATTTGCAAAAGTGCGGAGATTGGATCTTTCTAGGAATTTGTGCAATGCTGCAAATTTTGCTAGGAAGAAATTTTTCGGTACATTCAAGTCACGCTTGATTTGAAGTTCGAACAGAAAAAATTCCTAGTTCATGGCAGGTTGGTCAAACTGTGCAACTCCCTTAAACGTTTCAAAGTTTTCTAAAGTAATCGACTTCATTGATATTTCAAAGCCAGATTCCAGGCCAATGCATCTGGAGTTCTGATGCTAACACTGGTTTCAAATCTAGCCCAAACCGTAATCTTTCAAGTGGGAAATTGTATCCGCGGAAATGTTAGAGAGTACGGCTTGGGCAAGACTTAGAAGCTGAATGTATCCTCATCCACGAATAAACCATATAAGCTCCCGCTCGGACAAATGAGTTAACATCTTTCAACCAATTTTTGAAATTTAGGGCCCAGATAGCAGGACGCTTCATGCAAGAAACAGTCGTTAGTTCTTCAGTCCTACAAAGTTGTTATGTCTCCCTTTTCTTCTTTCCACCTACTTCTTCTGTCTGGTCAAACATTTGTCTACTCGGAAAATGTTGACTACTACCCAATAACGATAGTTGTAAAGTGTGGACTTCGCTGTAATTGGCTGGCCACACCAACTGCTGCTTGCATGACGTAGGTGAACAAATTGGAAGTTGTTGACAAGGCGAAAAACAAGAGACTGGGTTCAGAGGATAAAGAATATATAACTCAATTGTTTGATTTCTAAACTGATTGAAAATGGCGCATGCAGATTTCGCAAGGTAGCCATTTTCACCATAACGAGGATATTCCGATTACTGTGGCATATTGTGAACAAAACACCATGAACGTTTTGTTGCTATACAGTTAATATAATCTTACAGTAAGATTAGGCAAAAACATCAGTGAGGATAGGAATGTCAACTAGGTTTGAATGTTTCGATCTCATGGTCAGCGTTTTTATCTGTCTTTCACCACTTAGTATCACAAAATTTATGGATTGCAGCCTAACGATGTAGTGTGTCTTGGAAAGAGTGAACAATCTTTGAAATGTTCACAAACTCTCATATTAGATTCATTAAAACGAGGATTTTCTCCAGTTAAAGTGTGATAATCATGACAAAATGGAGATCTAATTGTTCTTACATCGCGAACATTCTAAGATATACAGGTGCAGGAAAATCAAAAAAGGGGAAAATAAAGAGAGATGCTGCATCTTTTGAATTACTGATTTTTTTCTTATCCTGAGTTCCCATATTGGGCAAAAGAACATAAAGATGACGTGCACTCACTAATTAGCCCCTTGTGTAGAAAGGAATTTTGTCTATCTTTGGCTACTTGAAAGACCACATTTTCTAGATTAGTTGGCCTTATTGAATCTGATTTGTTGCTAGCACGGATGTGTAAATTGTGGTAATAAAGATAAGGTGGACGGATTCAAGGTATTAATTTTGTTCATGGTACATTAACAACAAAGTGCTCGTCTTCGTTTAATATGATTATATCCAAGCGTGATATTTGAAGTTTGCCAATCTCCTTCTCTGAACCGATCGAACAGAACGATTATCTCAAACATGCGTGGCAAAAGCCATTATTACACCTGACACGAAGCGCTTTCCGCAATCGCTGCCAGCCAGTTTTACGGTCGGCTCATGACATGTCTGTCGATGCTCGGAGGCACGGAAAGCCGCAAAACGATATAAAATTTGGAAAAAGTTTATAATATTTCTAAGGATGAAAGCTCCAAAAATTCTTAGCGCAAATTAAACCATTCTACAGTGCAAAAATCAATAACACCAATAATTTTTCCCCAAAACAAAAATCGTTCTTTACTCCACGCTAAAGACAAACATCTATTCCTTTTATATATCTTTCTTTTTTGCCGGACCGGAAGTTCATGTCGTCAGAAAGGCACGTCTTGTAAAACACTGAAGATGCGAAAAAAAAACAAAAAAAAATCAAAAGCATTGATGCTCTAAGGGCTGAGTAAATATTGCTGAGTGATCAGCGCAGATCTTCGCTTGAAAAGCAAAAGCAAAAAGACAAAGGAGAACGTGAGATAGATAAGAAAAAATGCAAAATTAAAACCGAATTTTCAGCAACTTGAAGATCAACAGTTTTTTAGACACATAAATATGCGCATTAAAAAACAGAAGCAGATGACACCAGAGAGATGTTTTTTTTTTAATATCAACAGCAGGATCAGCTAATCCATTTTGAAAATAGAATGCTAGGAAAGTAAAAGAATCTATACACTAGCGTCGATTGAGCGTATAAAACATCAAGGGAATATGTAAACATGAAAGTTTACAGAAGAATCTTGTATCTCGCAACTCTTAAAACGATCGACGTGGATTATGTACATGACAAATAATATAATGTAATTCGATTTTTCAATAATTTCTACGCTCACAGTGAGTGAGCAGAATAAATCACTCCCAACTGCATATATTTTGCTTTAGCTCAACGAAACTTTCAATCACTTCCAACTTTCAATAAATTATCGTTAGCGCACTCGCGCCATTGCGATAATGGCAATGACCATCTGTTGTTCAACAAAAACTTGGCAGAGAGAAGTGTGAACTGGACCGAGCCGTTAAAGAGAATTCTTGCCCATAAATTCACAATCTTGCTATACTTTAGTTTATCAAGAATTTTGGGAGAAAAATCAGTAGTAAAGATGGGGATTTGAATAAAAACCTCTTTGACATCCAATCGAATTGGAAAAGAAAAGTTGAGGCCAGATGATTTTTCTATATGGATTTATAGATCAAAAAAGAAAGAGGAAAAAACAAAAATTGAGCTTCGTCGTAGCAGAGAACTTTTCAAATTGTAGTTCGAAGGAAGATCAAATTATTGCAACGCGAATCAAAATACTGGCAAACCTCCAAGTATAGATTTAAAAACTCACTCTCTCTTCAGTAATGCTTCCTGATCCTCAGTCATTGCCGTTCCGGTCGAATCAAGTTCACGTGTTCTTCTTCGTTGCTTATAATATTCCGTGGGAGTTTCAAAATATGATCCGGGAACCCATCCTGAGAGTGGCGGACGTGCCTAAATCAAAACTTTAGATTCAAAGGCAAAATCTCATAGACTGGATATCATGTAACGGCAAAAAATCAAAGTGTGATGGTTCCAATTTCATTAACGATTCCCATTTTTTCCCACCACTCCAAAAAATTGATAAACGATTGCCACCTAAACTTTAACTGTTCCTATGGAGCGGCTGCTATGTAAAAAAGATATCTTGACGTAAGAATTTGCAGAACAAAAAAAAAAGCTTCAAGAGCTCGATCTGAGCCAGAAAAGATTGTAATCAATGTGCAAGCAATTCAGAAAAAAACCCTCGTCGACAAGTTAAGAAGCCATAGCAAACGCATAAAAAAGAAAAGTAAGCAAGTAACACTTTCAAGAAATTTCTACGTTCCTTTCCCTCACTTCAAAGCAATGGAAGGACCCCCGCCACGTTTTACTATTTTGACAAAAATTTTTCCAAAACTTTGACCTACTTTCGTTCGCACCAGCCAACTAGTTGGATTCTTCTTGTCGAGTACTTCGACTATTTGCCCTTGTTCCAATGGAATTCCTTCGACATCATTAGCATCGGGTTGATAGTCTTGTATTGCAATGTATACGGGATACGAACGAGTATCCGAGCCCTATAGTATAGCATAAGATTTCTAGGCTTCAAACACAAAGTGCTCGGGTATTTTATCACCGTTACGATCTCGGAGCTAGTCGAACGCCCACGTCTGTCGCTTCGTGATGTCACTGACTCGGATCGAAAACTCGATCGAGAGGAATGTGAAGTATAGTTCACATCTTCACTCGCCGTGAATTTTCTGGAAAAGAAGGGTTTTAGTGTGAGAATTTCAAAAATAAACAGGCTATGTCAACAGCTCAAGTTCTTCTTAGCTCTACTCAGCTGCTGACCTTCTGAGAAAGTGTAAGTAACACATTTTGAAATCCCACAGAATATATAAGTTTATCTGTGGAGTAATAACGCTATGCTGCTCTCTTTAACGAGCATCTTAAAATGGCCAAGCTAATCAGGGAAACTTCCAGAAGTTCCAGAAAAAAATAATTGTTACTCTCATTACCCCTGAAAATAAGGTTGCTGCATAAGTTCTGTCGGTTTTGCTGTTTCAGGCAAAATCTAATATATAAAGAATCGTTAGCTCAATTCAAAAATTGCCAAGAGCGAGAAACCGCGACGGGTCCCGAAGCGAATGTTTTTCCAAATAGCACCTTTAGATTATTGGTTTACTAGCATAATAACTTTTTTCCAATGCGCCCTTTTTGATAAATGTATTTTCTATGGTTTAAACCTATCTGCTATTTACGATAAAACCTTAAATGTTCCAGCTTTTTTCACTTCATTATTTACTAGTATGGTAGGAAGGCAATTTTTTTTAGAGGCAAAACCACTTTAATTTTATTTGAATAACTCCATAATTTTTTCTGCTAAAATTTTACACACTTTCGAGCTGCACCTTCATTTCTGCCGTACTCGTTGTAAGCCGTCCAGCAGAACAGGCATGCCGGCAGAGTGTGAGAAATTTTAGGTGAGTGGTTTGAGAATCGATAAAACAATTTTATTGATTACTGTGGTAGAATCAAGCGGAAAGTGCTCAAAAGCTAGAAAGTATCATTGCAGAGCTTTTGGACTTTGCAGGAAGAACATAAAATGTAAAAAATGTGAGCAGCAGTAGAGGAGAGGACTTGAATATCTGCTCGAAAAGCGCTAGTACCTTTGGCACGAGAAAAGCGCTGGGTGAAAAAGAAATTGAAACTTTTTGACGCATTTCCAGCTGTTAATTGTTTGCATTGCAAATTTTTTGAGAAAAATTTTTTTGAACAAACCTAGGAAATCGATAGAGTGAATAGCGATACCCATGCATTAAGCCAACCAGGTAGCAGCGTAGCAAAAGCTGACTGAGTCGCAGGTAGCTCTTGCTACGCTCGCTACGATTCACGTAAGATCCAGATTTCCCAAAAAAAAAATCTTGAAACATCCGACCCGGTAGCAGAGCCCGATTTTCGCACCCTAGTTCTTTGAGCACTTGAGGGGGCGGCGAAAGTTTGGATCGCAAACAAATCCTCAACTGGACAGACACAACTAACGCTCAAGATGATTGGCGGCGGGAGCATCCGCATGATTTGCTTTTTCCCGAACAATGCTTACCGTTCGTATCTTCTACGTATCGAGTACATTTTATAAAAGTAGTTGTGAATAGCGTAGCTGGTGCCAAGAAAGCTGACAATTTCAAGAATGGGGAAACTATACAATGAACGCCTGAGGGAAGGGGAAGCTAGAGCTGAGGCGGGAACTTGCTCGGGTTTTTGCTAAGGTTGCACATCGGGAAACTTTAGAGCCGATCGGATTCGCCTGATGAATGTGCGCTAAGCAAAAAAAAAAGGAGGCGTCGATTGTGACACACTAGACTTCTCAAGTTCTCAGAGAGTGATGCTGCAGAGACAGAACACACATGTACAAGAACTACTCGCACGAACTAGAGAGCACTAGAATCACCTGTACGAGCTGTATTTGCGGTCGAACTGCTTCTGGCGACGGCTCGCCATCGCGCTCGATGTGTCGTTCTGCGTCACGCAGACTGAAGAGCTGCTCGATCGCGAATTGTTCGATGGAGAATCAGCTGATTAATGAATTCCTAGTCGTATACTGTCGAAACGAACGTTCGTCTGTGGAACCTGCGATCTTTGCTTCGGCGCCGGCCCAGCCGAGTTGCAAAGAGGCGAATGTGCGGGCTGAAGGGGCTCCTCCCGGGTTTCGAGGAGAGGAGGCCTACCGCGACCTGCTCGACTCCTCCTCCTCCGCTCTTTCTCCCTCTCTTCGCTCTCTCCCGCTTCCAAGGCCTACGCGTCCACACCGACAGCACACCTACTGTTACACACCTCTAGTCGCGATAAGCACGCATGAAACAATCCTCAATGGGGGACCGACGACTGATCGAATCGCCCTTCCGGGATTCCTATGAGAAACGCACTTTTCGAGCAGGAGATGACTCAATCCCAGCATAATAAACATATGCGTTATTGACACTTTGCTTTCACGCCGTTCGTACTTTGAAAAAGTGGAAAAGAAGGCTGAAAGTGATACGGCAAACTTTTCCACCTACAGATTTGTGTTGCCTTGAAGGCAGTGGCTCGGGAAAATTAGCAATTGCAAGCTTTCCATCCCTCCTTGGCCTTCTGGACGCAGAATCCAGGGCCATGTTTGGAAGGAATGTGCTTTTCGCGTTTTGCAGTCTTGGAGATTGCTGAAGGATCGCCAACTGAGTCGCGATTGGCTGCCTAAGTCGATCAGCCAATTGCCGCCGAAATGGGGGAAGTTAAAGTTTCCTACAGCCAGTCGCTGTTTTTGACGGGTATCGTTCGCACGATCCCTCTCAGCAACCTTCAAGGCCGGAAAACGCCAAAAAAACACTTTTTTTGACTTTACAAGCGCAGCCTCGCACTCAGCGGATCCGGAAGGCCATGTGAGTGTGAGAAGCCCACAGTTGCAATTTTCCCAATCCACCGCTTTTAAGGGTTGGAACTAACAGCCTAACGAAGTGTAGGTGAACCCAAGCAAGCACCAGCAATTTTTTGTGGCTTAGTGAAAGACTCTAAGCAGCCCTTGTGCAAGCGGTAGCTCATATGATTCATTTCTCGCAGAGAATTCAACTCTCGATAGTCAGGACCGTGAAACTACCGTAATCGGACGCTGATTGGTCCGCATGGAAAACGTATGGTTTGAGCATGTGCGGATATAATTGTTGGCCGGAATAGATAAAAGAGAATTAGCTGCGCATTGTTTGAGGGAAGTCTATTTAATTTTTTTTCGGAAATGAAGGATTAGAATTGGTTGCACATCTAATTTTGATCCGTGCACCATTTACTTGTCTTACGTGACCAAATTCATGCCATTTGGGAAATCGGCTGAGACATCTGAACATCTGAACATCAAAACATCTGTAAACTTTCTACATTTTACAACTGCAAAAACTCCGAAACTACTGTTTATAACTGTGTAGCCAAAGTGTATCGTCGGTTCATGACACGCAAAGACTAGGCGTCGTTGCGTCCAACGAAGATAGTTATGCATAGGAGAGACAGCAGGCGGTAAGAGAAACGAAAGAGCGCTCGATCACGGAGACGCCGACATGTCCGCAGTCTTTGCGTGCTATGAATCGCCTATACGTGTTTGCATCCGCTGCAGCATGAGATTAAAAATTCAAAATGCCTTGGACAAGCCAAATTAGAACCAATGGAGTTCACTACAGGTTGAAAACTCTGTATAGTTGATACTTGGTACCAGAGTCTTGAAACTACTACTGCACAAAATTTCCAGCCAAACGATTTGTTCTCGTTTCTCGTTTAAACGTGTGTCATTCATTCTTTGAATAAAAGACTTGAAACCCTTTGCACAAACTGTTTGAGCAAGCATGAACGTGTCCCTCTTGCTTCCAAGTAGCAAATTAACCCAGACTCTAGATCACATGTACTAAACTAGTCCACCACACAAAGGGAAGAATCCTTCTTGAAGTAGCCTTTCAAAATTTGAACGCTACTTCCAAATCTGTCTTCCTTGTCTGCGGAGCGCCTCTGGACAAGAAGTTATGAGAGCTTTTGTAGCGAAACGTGTAGTTAGAAGAAAAACATTCACAGAAGTCTCTCGTGAGCTTAAATGGGACATGATGACTGAACCTCTCTATGGGAAATTTATTGCTTTCTACCCTAGTGCTAGCATTACTCCATCTACGAGCTGGAGAGACTGTCACCATTGATTTATATTCCAATCAGGTGTACAGTTTCTGGACTCATGAAACGCTCATAACTCCTCACCCAGAGGCGCTCCGCAGATAAGGAAGACTATTCGAAACCAGCGTTCAAAACCCTTCAAGAAAGTACGCATCTCAACTGAAATGTCCATTTCGATTAGGGATCTTTCCGTGTTAGTCACAGAATGAATGATATGTAGAATACGGACGCTTCCCAACTGTACAGAAAGAAAGCGCAATAAGCGCAAGACTTTTATGATGGCCATAAATACCCCAGTTGTAAAGGTTGAAATCGTCTTTTTCGACAGATCGGAGATTTTACAAAGTTTGTACTGTAATTAGAGCAATATCTCCATGAAAGTCCAACAAAAACAAAAAATTGATATCATTTTCGCAAAGCACTTACAGAATAAGAACAATTCTTTACAGAGCTCAGTGTTAATGGTCTCATTTTTGCGTGCTCTTTACCTACCAACCTGCCGTTGCTAGACCTTTGGATGGGCAGCATGCTTATCCGGTTCAACGGGTTCATCCGGTTCATCCTTTCGCTATTGGTCAATTTAGTGATTTAACCAATAGTGAATAGGGTGGACCGGATGAACCGGTCGAACTAGTAAGTATGGACGTGTCTTACCGCGTTGCCATAGAAGACCAAATAGAGTCTTGACACGTCGCTGTGACGTGGCAAGAAAAGAGGTAGCCCTACATAAACTTGATGCTTCACCTAGTCTCCCTCCCTTTTCCCCGCATATGAACTCATGATCGACATTATCGACAATGTCATGATTGTGGAATTCAAAACTGAGCCAGATGACTGGACCGTGGAACAACCAAACCAGTTAACAGGTTTGTGCTTCTTCCTCATGAAAGTCCCTATAAGGATTTTTCGGAAATGCAGGTGAGTGGTTTTCGTGTCAGTTGGGTCACAACTTACAAACTCGTGTTTTCATAGAAGAACTTTGAGCGACACTCTTGAACGATGATTGGAATCTAGAGACTACATATATAGGAGAAAAATGGTGATCAAAAATATACAAATAGTATGAGGTTATCCCAAAAGTAAACCGCTCTTGAATAATTCAAGCTGTTTTTGTTTTCCTTGTATATGCAGGGTATCATTCGATAGACCAGATCAAGCTCTACAGATGACCACCAAAGGTCCGCCTCAGTCGCCCTCCATGTAAAGTTTGAAGCCAAAATCGAAAAAAACTTTGTCACCCGAAAATTAGATTTTTGCGAAGAAAAACCCTACGGGTCTCCAACTTGATTATTATACAATAGGCACATATAAGTACTCAAATATGCCTTTACTGGATTTTTTCCGCAGAAAGAGGGAAGATAAGATAGTATAAAAGTGGCAAACTCCGCCCCAGCCCCTCTCACATATGCCATTGTATACGATAAGCCTTTCTCAGTATAAGCTCAAAATTTCACCCCTGTATGTGCTCTTATAACCGAGAAATACCAAGTTTTGCATAGAAACCTGAAAAAAGTGGCATTTTGGCACTTTGGGACCACCTTTGTTCCTCGACTTTGAGCCCTGGAAAAAAATCCATCTTATATATAAAGCTGAATGTCTGTTTGTCTGTATGTCTGTCTGTCTGTCTGTCTGTATGTTTGTATGTATGTTCCGAATAGAAAATTCCATTTCTGAACCGATCCGGACCAAACTTTTCACACATACACTTCGGGGCGGGGAGGGTGTCGTAGGCTACTTTCCGTTATCGATCGATATCGATTTTATCGATTTTTTGCAAAAATTGAGCTACGGGGCTGGGAGTTGGCACAGGGGGGTAATCGAGCAAGCTGATTACAAATATATTATTGACAGGGCCGGGCGGAGCCGGATAAGCCAGCTAGTCAAATATATTTTTGGGTACCACTATGTGTCTACTATATAAAGACCAAGTTGGAAGTCCGTAGGAATTTTCTGGAAGGAGATCCGATTTTTAGAGTAGCTGAAAAATTTTAATTTTTGGCTCCAAATTTTACCTGGACGAATTAGGTGGATCTTTGGTAGTCTTTTTGTACAGCTCCGCTCTACCAAATGGCCTGCATCTGTCAAAAAACAAAAACAGCTCAAGTTATTTGAAAATGGAGATTACTTTTGGGACATATCATCTATTCTGAGACTGGCAGGATCGAGTATACGTCTGCAGCATACATCGTCTAAACAAGCTTCCTTGCTCTATTTTGATGAAGCAGTAAATTTGGTGAGGTAGAGCACAAGTACTATCTAATTACAAAATCAAGCTTGTTTAGATTTGTGTACAAAACGAATTCGAGTCTCTAGAAAAATAATGAAACCTATTGTCAACGCGCGCTAACAATGTGCGATTCCTTCTTCATATTCAGATCAAGCCAATGGACTGAAGAGTACAGTGGAAGACGTCGAGAAGAGCATGCAGGTCGTCAAACGCCGACCTCCACGCTTTTCTCGACGCTGCAGAGCACATCAAGTACCACGTCATCGCTCTGCAGGAAACGAAGTCCAGGAAGAAGACGTGCGACAGATGAGTGATGGGACCCTCATCATTCGTGGTGAAAAGGTTCCATCACGAAAAGTTGGAGGCGTTGGCTTTGTCGTTCACCCATCAATTGTGCACCTTGTCCATTCGCATGAGATCCTGTCACTTCGACTAGTCTCCTACGACTACGACCTCCATGTCAGAAGATCATCAGCATTTTGGTGGGCCAAGTGATTAGGAGGTAGACGAGTTGTGATAAGGTTTATTCGCACGGGCGTAGATTATTCGAGAAAAGGTGTGAGGTGTCCCGGTGTGGACCGGGGAGCAACCTCTAATACATTCGGTAGCTCCTTATATACGAAGGAAGGCGGAGCTGAATTGAGTACAGGGTACAATGTACACGAGTTGGTGCTTGAAAGGAGATGCCGCCGACTTGGTACACTCCTGGCGCACGGGTACCATTCACTCTTGAGTGATTAGATACTCAAGAGTGAGTAGCTCACAATTTAGCCTATGGGTATTCCGTAAGCTATCTAGAATATAGAGTTCATCAGTGGTTGATGATACAGAAAT